CCTTAGGCTTTATTCTTACCATACCATTTTTTCCCCTGCCTAACTCAAACTGAGTAACCTTGTTAAGACAAGTCAGAAGGGGGCCTACAGGAAAGCTGGGGAGGGACTTTTTTACCAGGATGTGTAGTGATAGGACAAGGGCTAATGGTTTTAAACTGGAAGAGGAGAGAATTAGGTTAGACATTAGGAAGAAATTCTTTAGTGTAAGGGTGGTGAGACACTGGAACAGGTTGCCCAGGGAGGTTGTGGATGTCCCCTCCCTGGAGGTGTTCAAGGCCAGGTTGGACAGGGCTTTGTGCAACCTGGTCTAGTGGGAGGTATCCCTGCCCTTGTTGAGGGGGTTGGAACTAGATGAACTTCTAGGTCACTTCCAACCCAAACCATTCAATGATTCTATGATTCTAAGAACTATGTGTAAATTCACTTAAATTCATTCTTCTTTTATTTCAATTTGTTTTCATCTAGCTGTATTCTAAGATTCTCTAAGCTTTCTGAAATACATTGTTTGTTGAATAACTTCATATAGAATATCAAAGGAAGTAAATGCAGTTTAATGGCTATATTAATAGATTATAGCTTGCAGTATGTAAATACTGAAGTGTAAGCATAATCTGGGACTGGAAATGGAACACTTTCCACTTCAAGTTCCATATCAAAGTCTTGCTATAACCCAATAGTCAACTACCCAGTGTTTGAAAGAATGACATTTACACTCCCACAATAAAGTTTAAAGACTACAAGTAAATACGAAAGTTTATCTCACACAAGCAGCTGGACATGACAAACCTTTTGGGTTAAGTCTCACCAGAAAAAGTTGCATGTTGATTAATCTATAAGGGGGAATGTAAAGGTTGTAATTTTTTTCTATGTGAAACAAAAAGTACAAAAAAGATTTCCAAAGACATGTTATATATATTATTTTTCTACCCTTATGATACAAAAATGATATGCATGAAAATGCCCAGGAGTATTTGGAAACTAAAATCACAGAAATTACTTTAGACTTTATAATATGAACAGCTATCTGATCATTAATACAAGTTTTCTCAAAGAACATAGATTCAAAATAATTAAATCCAGACCTCTGCAGTCACAGAAACTTAATATAATTTCTTCTTTAAATATCTTTAAAATATGGCAATTGTATAGGATAATTACACATCTATCAGTAAAAAAAAAAAAAAAAAAAGAAATTTAATGTAAAATTCAAGTGTGTGGGTTTGCTAAATGATACCAAAAATATTGAATTTGTTGTTTACATTTCTCTGGGGGAGAAAAAAAATATCTTGTAAGTAACAGAACAGATTTTATAGCTTTCATTTCTCTCCTCCTTTCTGCTCATTGTTCTCCAAATTTCTTACTTCTTTACTTTTCTCTTTGTCTTGCACAGACCACCAGACTACACCCACAATCACATTTGGGAAACTTTCCTGACATGTGGTTTCTGCAGTTTCCCTCTGCTTTTCATCACTGGTCAAAGGTTCCATCCTTGTGTTTAGCTGGTTTCACAGATGATTATTGAAACTCTTCTCTTTTACTTACTGCTGAATTGTTTATATATTATACTGTCAGTTTAATTTGACCACACTCCTTTGCAAAATGGTAGAGATTATAAGCTTGACAGAAGAGAAATATGACAAGTAGGGTTATAATCACCTGGAAAGAAAACACGCACAGGTAGGAAAACAGAAAATGTACATATTAGTTCATTAAGATGAATTATCTTATCTCTTCATGGAACATCTTTCAAGAACATTAATAATAATAATACACAGACATCTGATCCATGCAGAAAAGCAAAATAATTTTCATGTATAACAGGGCCCCTTTTGATTCTTAGACACTTTACTAGGGAGTTTTTACCTTTTTAACAGAAGCCTTTCTCATTTGTTGAGCCAGTATCTAGATTCAAGGTAATGCATTCTTCAGTAGTAACTTTTAAGGAGATTAAGTAAATGTAAAACATCTTATTTTCTTTCCTTCTCCTGTGTCTGCTAGTTTAGCTCTCTAGCTGTCATAGGTAAGAAATTTCTGTGTAGAAACCTACTATCTACTGCCCTTGGTAAAATCTTAAGATGTGAAAACTGAGATGAAGAAATATTTTTTTATTCAAGTGATTGTAGATACATTTACGTGGTGGTATGTATGCACTAGCAATGGTAGAGAAACTTGTATCTTAGTGTATCCATGGGAAACACGCTGTAACTCACCTCCTTTTATGTACAGCTCACATGGTAACAGAAGTGGCAAAGCACTGCCCTTCCTTCTGTTTCTCTCAGCTGCTTTTCTGAGTCACAAACCTTTATTGTCCATCTTCTGCATAAGCATTTAGATCCTCTCTTAATTTCCACAAGGATCTCTGTTTTTGGTTTATTCTGGGTTTTGTAGGACTTCAGCACAAATTTTGCTCTTGGATACTATTCTTTTCCCACATGCTGTGGCTTCTGGTTTTGACCCTGACAATACAGGGCTTTAACCTCTCCATTCCAGTCTAAGAATTGCACTGCTTGTGGTGGCCCTACCCACTGCTTTTGCCTTCTGTTAGGAGGAAACATCACAGCTAAAAGTTCTGTTTGGCCTTTGGACTCAGAAATACAGAAGAGGAACTGCAGCATCCTCTGGAATTTTTACTGAGTCCATGAACAATTTGATGGATTTGCTCAGCAAAGCTAACACAATACAATTGGACCTGACCCTGTCCATAAATCCACGCCCAAAAAGAAGTAAATGTAATCTAAACCATCCTTGGTCTCAGGGTGACTTTCTAGCCCTGAGAAAGTTCATACTAACCATGTTTGCGTTTTCATGTAGTCCTAAAACCTTTCAGTTCTAAAGAGTTTCAGGAGAGTGTCTGGTAGTTTTTTATCAAAATTGTCCTGTTGACCTGTTGAAGGATGCAAGCAAAAGGAGTTGCACTTGCAGGCCTTACATTCCATCTCTGAGTTACTGCTGATCATTTGGTCAGTCACTTTTTTCTATCTTTGCAGTCTAATAACAGTTTGACACCAGGCCATCTGATGCCACCTGCAATGCCACCACAATGTCACCAGTAATCTCCTCTTGACTATTTTCAGTTGGCTCTGTGAAGATTATGATTTAGGTACTAAAGGCATTTACTAATTTAGCAAATAGTTCCATAAAAATTAGATTACTGTCAAATAGCACCTGAAGTTCTTGCTCCTGATGGTTTCTGGCCTATATCTATGTAGTAATCAATAATTTGTTTGCTTTTCTTAAGTGTTTTGTCTTAAGGAATTTGCTAGTTCATGTATTCATTCGACAAGTAACTCTAAGAGAAATACTCATCTTTCCTGATCCACTTCTGAAAGCTTGAAAATCTCTCAAAAAATACTGAACTGGATTATAGATTGTATAAAGAAGTCTTGATAAACACAAACATCTAAGCTTAGTATAGAGGTCCTCTCAACTAAAGTAACTGATGAGCCAAATGATGAGCCAATAAGCAAGTAGAAAAGGTGATTTCTCCAAATTACATTGCAATACTTGATATCCTCAGGTAGGCACTTGAAGTATCACCCATCCTTTTGCTAATTATTGTGTTTACAATTAAGTTTTTGAAAATGCCTGGTGCATTTTGCAGTGTTGTCTTTCCAGCTCTGTATAACTAGGCATTCTGAAAACCCCTTCTAGATGGTTGTTGGCAAAATGTTGCTCAGCATTACCCACAGATTGAATGAACATGAGAAAAATCATTCAACAAAGTAGGTATTTTTCTATTCTGGCATTGTTTCTGTCTGTAAGGAAACTGAAAAGACATTGTCTAAAATAATGTAATCTTACTCAGTGGAACATCTTACCAAAGAAAGAGATACATTTATTTTCAAGCATCTCAGATTAGTGGAGTGCAATGGATCTTGGTGTACAGTGTTGGTCAGTGATTATGTAAATTAATCAGTTAAGAATTTATACTTAAACAAAAATTAGGCTTATAACTTGTGTGCTTTTAAGGGTACATGAAGCACTGTATGCTTCATGTCACTTTATCAAATGCTGTCTGTTCCTCTTTGCTTGAGGCAGCCAAATGAATTGCATACCTGTCAGTTCAATCTCACAGTGCCAAAGCTTCTGTTTTTTTCTGGTTTACACATTAACTTGTAAACATGCACTTGATAATTTGACTAATTAACACAAGAGTGTGAGAACAACCAATGCTGTGTCAGACCAAAGGTTCACTGACAGTATTCTGTTTCTCATAGTGGCCCTCAAGGGATGCCTGAGGAAAGGTAGAAGAACAGGGCAAATTGTAGCCATGTTCCCCTCTTTAGAATGCTCTTCCACCTTCAAGAAATCCAGATCTGTATAAAGTATTCAAGATCAGGGCACACAGTTTAGTTTTCTGTTTGTTTTCTAAGAGCATACTTGGACACTTTCCCAGAGTCGTGTTTCCATCCTATAGTCACATTTTACACTGATTGCTCGTCCTCTGAGATGCACCATGGTTCTCCTACACTTGCTGTCATGGCTAATAGAACTCTTCTCTTAAATGTTCCTGCATTCATTTGCATTGATAAAAGAAAATAATATTACCACTCCTTTGTTTTAGCTGTCAGACTTAATGTAGGAAGTAAAAGACATTCTGACAGCCTAAACAGGGGTGTTTGTTGCTGTATTATCTGTCCCAAGGTATGTGAGGCACCCACCCACCTGGCAAATATGATACAGCAGGTAAGGGAGACCTGCATGCTTCTGGAGTGACAGCTGGAGGCCATAAAGTATACCCTGTGTTATCTAAAATGACACTAGATGCCTTTATTTAAGCATTACATTTCTGCCTAGAGGGTGGCATGTAAAACAGCCTTAATTCTCATATGTCAATCAAGAGAGCCCTGAGTTCCAAATTAACCTTATTTCTGGTGAAGGCAACACACCAATAGCTGCAGTTTTGAATAATCATGTCATGCCAATCTCTTTTTTTTATCATTTGCATATAAATACAGATTGAATATTTGAAAATAATATTTCTTTTGATTTTCATTTAGGATGCTAGGGAAATGGTTCGATCCTTTGTTGGTGGCTTGGAACTGGTAGTCAGTTTGCTAAAATCAAAGAATAAAGAAGTTTTAACAAGTATATGTGCAGCCGTTACAAATATAGCTAAAGATGAAGAAAATTTAGCTGTTTTAACAGACCATGGAGTCATCCCTCTGCTGTCCAAGCTAGCAAACACAGTAAGTAACTGCTAAACATATTATACTAAGTATATGAGTTTCTTATGTCACACTGCATTATACCCAATTAAAACATTATGACAAGAGTGATAGATTTTGCAGCAGATACAGGGAAGAGCTGTAGAATCCTTCCTCTGTGAGATGCATATTGGACAGGAAACCACTCTGGGGCTGGTACTAAAATTGCCTTGGAAGATGAGCTTCATTTCAATTGAATCTGTTGCTGAATATTGCTTTTGAGAGATACAGCTGCTGTATGAAAAATGCACAAAGGTTCAGGAGAGTAATAAATCTAAACCATGCAGAGAATCTCAGTGTTAAGGCTATATGTTACATTTTATTGCTAATCTTATCTAATTTCCAGTCAGTCTGAAAGCACCTTTGAAATAATATAAAAATTCATAGCACTTCTTTCAAAGAGAGTAGGGACTACTAGCTCCATGCCTTACAGCTCTCTCCAGTTTTCAGTTGTACTGCAGTTAAAACAGGATGCCTTAAGGATGTTTGAGAATACAATTTATGTTTCCCATTAAATCTTTATGATATTATATTGTCGATACTTTATTATGCTTTTACCTTCTTCAGAGAAACAACAAATTAAGACGTCACCTGGCCGAGGCCATTTCCCACTGCTGTGTGTGGGGGAACAACAGAGCTGTGTTTGGAGAGGCCAAGGCTGTAGCCCCACTAGTTCGTTACTTGAAGTCAGATGATCCGTCAGTTCATAGAGCTACAGCTCAGGCTTTGTACCAGCTTTCAGAGGATCCCAACAACTGTATCACCATGCATGAAAACGGAGTGGTGAAGGTGAGGTGGAAGGTTTTTCTTATTTGGAATTGAAATTATTGAAGAGGTTTGGCATGGTTAAATGAAGAGACCTTACATTTGAAGTAGTTCTTGAATACCACTATTTACCTCAGTTTTTCTGAAGTTTATCCTAAAAATGTTTGGGTTAGTAGTGAATTAGTGAACAGTATATCAGTGCTAAAGATTACAGCTAGGTGCTGTAATGGAATGGAAGGAATGGAAATATGATGCGGACATTCACCTCTAGAGGACTTAACTTGTTTCTGACCTAGGATGGTAGTGATGTCACATCAGCATTTTATCATTCTCAAGTGACTTCACCAAAAGAAGTTGGGTTATCTTAATGGATAGCTGCCTAGTGAGGCAAAAAGTCACCCAGGAACTGAGTGTAAATGGATTTGGGGAAAAATTAAGATAAAATAATAGAACAGCGTAGTTCATCTGCAGCTGATTCAATTAATTCTGCATTTACTAATAAAAAATCTTATTTTAGAAGTTAAGTATGAGCCCATTCTGCAAAGGCCTTACTCTAGAAAGATTTTTTTTCTCAAAAAGATTTTTCTAGCAAGTTTTCATCTCACTAGTCGAAGCCAGTGGAGTTATTCCTTTGGCACAGAAGAGGTAAGTATTATGGCCTGGAGCTGTAGATTGCAGGAGCTCTCAATTTTCTTAAATTTCCTGAAAGTTTCACTGTTTGCAGACTTTTTGTTTTACTTCATGTTCAGGTAAGTGTATTGAAAATAAGAGTTGTTATGGTGTAGTGTTACTATTAATGTTCATTTTGTGCCCGCACTAATGACTGTGCACTTTATTGTGGGCAGTTTCAATTCTGGCATAGTCTAATGGTCCTACATTATCATACAGATATCTTTATTTTGCTGTATCTGTAGTCAGGTTAAAAAGATCCACTGGTCAAAAATGTTCAAAGACTCAGTTTAAATGCCAGTTACTTGAACCGACTCAGATCACAGCTGCATTGCACTGGTTGCATAGCACAGGGGAACATATACTGTACAACAGCTTAATTTGAAACTAGTGTCTGATGGCTTTCTAATGTTGCTTATCTTTTCAGTCAACTGACATAACCCATTTTCTGCCTTCCAGTCATCTGTTGTTTTCATTCATTTTATTATGGAGGTTTTAGGTTTCCTAAATTGTACCACACTGAATGTACTGTATAAAGGTGATTCTTATGATATACTTTTGTAATAATTCCATATGAGTCTAGGTTCATCTTTATTTTTCAGTCCTAGTTAAAATATTTAAACTAAATAAAAGCATTTATTTGCACTTGAAGACGAATAGGGATGTAGAGAAAAGTATCATAGGTGTTTAATTTTTTATTATTCACAGTATTCTGGAATTACTATAATATTTTAAGGGACAGAAAAAAAGAGAACTGATAAAAGGAAGAGTGAAACTACAAAATTAAGGAACGTGGGTTATGTTTGTTGGAACTAAACTTTCTGTCTAGGGTGCACATCTCGTGTATTTTTCTAATGCAACAGATGAGTGTCTGGATGTGGGTTTTTATGTGGGTCTGTAACAGAACTAAAGTGGCAGTGCCTTTCATAACTGGTAGATGGCCTGAACACATAAGAGGATATACGACCAGTTCTCATCACCTGTGCCATTTGTATCATATAAGCAGATGTGCATTAGTAGTATGATGGGAAGCAGCTGCATTTGGTCCGTGTTGAGACTAACAGCCAGGGTAGCAGTTCTGCTGAAAAGGACCTGGAGAATAGGTTCAGCAAGCTGAACATAAGCCAGCAGGGTGCCCGGGGAGTGATGAAGGCTAATGGGATCCTGGGCTGTGTTAGCAGGAGCACAGCCAGTAGGTCAGGGTTAGTGACTTAGCACTTACTAAATCACATCAGGAGAACTGCGTTCAGTTTGGGCTCCAAGTCCAGTGGAGGGCCATGGAGATGGCTGGGGACTGAAGCGCAGGGATTGTGAGGGAACTGAGCTTGTCTGGCTTTTAGAAAGAAGGGCTCTGGGCAGCAATGCTTGTTAGCAGGCTGCCAGTACCTAAGAGAAGCTTATTGAGGTGACAAAGGCAGGCTCTTTACTGTAAACTGACTGCAAACAAAACTCGTTCTGTAATTAATACTTAAATGCAGCCAAATCTGATCAAGAATTAAGAGGTTAAAGAGTGTTAAGATAAGAATCACATATGATTGTGCATTGCCATGAAGGACCTGGAATAATTCTTCATCCCTGCTAAGTATCACAATATGCAGAAGTCTTGGGAAGTATTTTTGGAAGTGGTTCAGAATATCAGTGAAATCTCCTCTAAACTTAAAAGGCTGCACTGTTGCTTCACACCATAAGCCATTCAGTTAGGTAGACTGAAATCTCTTCATAGCCAGGAGATGACTGTGAACCAAATCCATATCTGGGAAAAGAAACATTATGATTCCTTATATTAATTTTCCTTACTGAGAGCAAACAATGAAATGTCATTGGAAGACACTAATTTACCTGAAGGAGTAGTTCTCACTAGTCTCCCAAAAAGTAAAAATAATTGAAGTTCACTGGAGTGTTTTCAGATAAACTAAATCAAACTAGTCAGGTAGTTGATGTCATTCATACTAAAGACTGTCAGCCAATTACAGACAAATGTCCTGAGTAAGTGTAAATCATTACACCCTCATATTATGAGGGTGGTAAGACACTGGAACAGGTTTCCCAGGGAAGCTGTGGGTTCCCCTCCCTGGAAGTGTTCAAGGCCAGGTTGGATGGGATTCTGAGCAACCCGTTCTAGTGGGAGGTGTCCCTGCCCATGCAAGTGGTTGGAACTAGATGATCTTCAAGGTCCTTTCCAGCTCAAACCATTCTATGATTCTATGATGATTAAGAAGAGATCTGTCCAGCTCCTCAAGTAAACTGTGTTCTGTTCAGTGTCTTCCTGAAGTCTATGTGCAGAGCATAGAAATGCATGTCCTACAGTCACCCAACAAATGTGTAACAATGAGGTGTTAACAATTTACAATTGTAAATTGAGCCTTGGAAACAACTTTGGTACTTATAAAATCAGAATATATTAATTACTTTAAGAAATCCATCCAGCTGAAGAAATTCTTTAAACCCATGCCATAATTAGTATAAGAGCTACAGATAAGTATTCAAGGTACATAGAATTATCTTATTCAACACCTGCACAAATTTCATTTTTCTATGTGTTTGTTCAATTATATTGAAGTGAACATTCATGGAAGTGCTTAATTACAAATGCTGCAGACATTACTCTGGAGAATATGAAGTGATTATATATAAACAAACAGAAACATTCTTCACAAATAATATTTGTGTATTTTTAATTATCTGGATATTTTAAAATAGCGTTTTTTCTAACATAATACGTATAAATGGAGCTGTTATTAAAGCTTTATTCCTTTAAGTCTTTGAGAAATCCTTAACAAAAGGCAAATTGGTAAAATGAGTAAGTCTTAACAGTAGGACTCTGGAACAGTTCCCAGCTCCTATGTCCAAGTGCCATAGCCTGGCCACATACTGACTGCACATTAGGACTAAATCTAGATGCATACATTCTGTTCTGTGGAAAAAAAAGTAAAAAAAGAAAAAAGAAAAAAGAAAAAAAAGAAAAGCAGCTGCAGAACTGGAGCCACAGTGTGTAGCCATGTTGCAAAATTCATTTGCCTTTCAACTAGGATGTAGCCAGTGAGAATCCAATATCAGTGTATGTGTTTGAGTTAACAAGGATGAGAGATTCATGTTAATAAACTGTGAAAAACTTGTTCTCCTTAGGCCATAAAGTGACAGAAGTGCAGTGAGAGGTCATCAGAGCTAGCTCTCTTGAGCTATCTTAAGCATTCTTAGCAGTCTAGCTTTGGCAGCAGGGAGTTCAGTATCAGGTGATTCACCTTATTCTAGCACTATAGGCATATCCATTTTGGAAAAAGTGTGTAGTTTGGTTTTGCCCTGATTTTTGGGGGAATAGAATTCTCCCATGCACAAGAGGACAATACCTGTGATTGTCTAGAGTCTCTAACCCTAATAAAACCTAGTTTAATTAGCAATTATCCTGCTGGAATGTTCCAAACCAGTTTCTAGTGCTTGTATGTTGTGTTATACCTAGAATGGCAAACCCGACAAGCAAAGTGTAGCAACGAACAGGCCTTTTTGGAAGATGTATCAGACCAGTGAGACACAGTGGTTCCTATCTAGTGAGGGTGCCCAAATAATTAAGCAAAGCATGGTGGGCAGCTGGGAAAATATGTTCTGTTGCACCTATGATAGTTTCCCCAGGTGTGCCAGTCCAAGTGCTTCTGTTCTTTGTAGCCAGAGCTGATCAGATCATGAAGCAAATCAACACACACACCGTGACAGCCCAGGGCACAGCCAGCCAATCCACCAGTGCTTATGTGCTGGCACTGTTGGAATTACCATCAAGAATCAAGTGCTGGACTTCTAGAAAGGCTAAAGAGGCGTTCCCAAACGGCAAGGAGAGTGGGAGGAGAAGATTTAGTTGCTCAAATGCTGCAGTCTCTGCAGTGCTGGATCTTGCCAGGCCGATGCAGTTGTCCTGCCCAGTGCAGGTGGGGCAGCAGCGCTGGCTCTGTGCTACTGGGCATCTTTGCACCACACTTCCCAGTGATGTCAGAATGCCCGGTTGTTTTCATTCTTCTAGCCTCTTCAGTGAACAGTTGACTGAAAGCATACTTTGTATTTATGTAGGGGGTTTTATGTACAGATTTTTCCAGGTCCTATAATATTTTTCCTTCTGGAAAATTTGCCTGGGTTCCTTTAATATTTTTTCATCCTTTTACCAGATATCTGGTGTTTCAGTAATCATGCCCAGTTGGATTAATGTCTCAGCTGGTGTGGTTCTGACTAGCTTGCAATACATGCATAATCCCAGGTGTTCTTCAGCACATGTTCATGTGCTATGTTCACATGCACAGAAAGCCTGATGCTTCAGGGAAACATTTACTCTGTGTGAATGACACAGTTGCTGACTGCTTGAACGGTTGGTC